AAGACTTGTTTATAAATATTCATGGTGGCTTTATTCACAAATGCTTAGCAACAGGTGACTAGATAAACAAATTGTGATATATCAGTATAGTGAAATACTATTCAGCAATAAATAGAAGTAAACTACTGATATATGCAACAGTATTCTGCTGAGTAAAAGAAACCAGCCACTAAAGAATACATGTCACATGGTTTAATTCAGTATATAAAATTCTAGTATAGGTGAAATAATCTATAGTGACAGAAAGTAGATCAGTGGTGGCCTGAAGCTGGAGAGTCAGGACATTGACACTAAAGGGATAGATGGGAACACTCTGCAGTTGGGATGATTGTTACGTGGGTGCCTTTATTTGTTAAAACTCATGAAACTGCTCAGAGAAGATGGCTTCATTTTATGGCATGTAAATTACACACTAATAAAGTTGTTATAAATGTGGGAAAAAAAAACCCAGAGAATACAGAAGTGCTCTTAGAAATTAAAAACATGATGCTCTGAAAGATTTTAAGGAGTGCTTTCTTTAGTTAGGGTTTTTTTTTTTTCTTGGTGGGGGAAGGGAGGTAATTAGGTTTATTTATTTCTTTATTTTTGGAGGAAATACTGGGGATTGAGCCCATGACCTCAGGCATGCTAGGCATGTGCTCTACCACTGAGCAGTACCCTCACCAGCTTAAAATTTTTAAAATTTAATAGAGTTGAAAGTTAAAGTGTAAGAGCTTATATAGAAAGAAGAATAGATGGAGAAAGAAATTGAAAATAGTGGATCAACCCAGTAAATCCAATATTCAACCACTAGGAATTATGCAAAAAGTGGAGAAAACAAAGGAGAAGAAAGTAGCAAAAAAAATTACACAGGAAAATTTTCTAGAATTGGGGGGCCCAGATCTTCATATTAAAATGAAACTTTGGATGCCATAAATGAAAACCAAGGCTCAGATTTGTGAATTCCAGAGGATGGAGACTAGACTTCAGGAAACATGAACAAAAACAGGGAGACCAGTGTTATGATGAATTGTGTCTTCCTAAAATTTAAGATGTTGAAGCCCTAACTCTTAGTATCTCAGAATGTGACTGAATTTGGAAATGTGGTCTTTAAATGGTTATTTAAGTTAAAATGAGGTCTTTAGGATGAACCCTAATCCAGTATGACTGGTATTTTTCCAAGAAGAGGAGATTAAGACATAGACATATGGAGGTAAAAACACAGAGAAGATAGCTAGACCACAAGCCAGCTAGAAAGGCCTCGGCAGAAATCAATGATGCTGACACTTTGATCTCAGATCCGTAGCCTCCATAATTGTAAGAAAATAAGTTTCTATTGTTTAAGGAAAATAAAAGGTTTCCAGAGGGAGAAAAAACGTTCATATGTAAAGGAATGGAATTAGAACGCTATTAGGATTCGTCATGGCAATTAGATGCTAGCAGGTATTAGAGGAATATCTATGATATGCCAAGGAAAATGATTTTTAATCTAGAACATTACACACAACCAAATTATAAGTCAAACATGAGAGTGATGAAAACATTCAGAGGCATGTAAGGATGAGGGATTTGATTCACTTTTTTCAGCTACTTGCCTTGACCAGCTAAGAAATAGGTCCCATTTCTCAAATTGTTTTCAGTGTTATTATCTCCGATAAGCACTTCAGCTGTTTAAGGCTTTTTAGTGCTAGAAATTGTAGGAAAATGAACAAGGTGAAAATGGTAAATAATGAGACCTTACAAAGTTTTCGAAAGCAAAAATAATATAAGTATTAGGTGTTAACTCACATTTCCATGACATTTTACAATTGAAAGACTTTTAAACATGCTTATATGAAATGAAAGATCGTAGAGAAATGATTTGGCCTGAGAACTGGCACATGATAGATGCTTCTGGTGGACAGACCCTAAGTTGAACCCTGGTGATCCCTCACTGCTGGTATTCACATCTTTCTAGAGCCTCATCCCTTGGAGGGCAGGTGGAGCCTGTGACTTTGTTCTAACCAACATAATACAGCAAAGATTATGTGAAGTCTCTCTTGTGATTATGTCGCATTATATAAGGCTTCATTTTGCTAGCAGAAACACTCTAGAGAGCTCTTTGTTGGCTTGATGAAGTAAGCGATGGTGTTGAGAAATGTCATGTGACAGGGAACAGCAGGCAGCTTCTAGCAACCATAAGTGGCTTGTGGAGATGATGTTGGCCTCTAGCCTCCAGCCTCCAGCCCACAAAGGCCTTCAGTTGTACAAATGCAAGATGAATTCTGCCAATAACCTGAGTGAGCCTCAAAGAGGATTCTTCCATGTAAAGCCTGCGGATGAGGACATAGCCTGGCCAACACCCTGAGTGCAGCCTTGTCAGACACTGAAAAGAGATTTTGCTAAGCTGTGCCTGGACTCTTGACTCATAGAAACTGTAGTTAATAATGTTGTGTTCTTTGAAGCTGTTGAATTTGTGGGAATTTGTTATGCAGCCAAAGAAAACTACTACAGTGCTCAACAAATGTTAGTTGATTTGAAATGTAAATAAGGTTAGGACTACTGTCTAAGTGCCTTCTTTCTGACTGTCCTCTTCGTTCTGGACTATTTAACCCCTGCCCCACCTCGTCTGGTTTGGTACAAGAGATTCTGATCGCCACCCGTCTTGGGCTGATTCTTGACGTCAGCAGCAGAGAGCTGGTTTTGCTGCGCAACATCCATTTCCTCTTGGTTTGGTAACAGCATCGTCTTCTTTTGGGGAACTGTCTCTCTCCAACTTCCAATTGTGGTATGTGGCCCTCTGGATACAGGATGGACACATGAACCAGGCCTGCCCACTGATTGGCCCAGTTAAGGTCCTGTGACCCAAGCTTTGCTGATTAGAATCTTGGTGGTAATGTGTGCTTTTGGTGAGAGAAAATTGCTTCTCTGCAGTCACTGGGCAGTATGATGTAAACTGCTGGCTGTGCCCTTCCCTGGACTTAAAGAAAGCCTATGGGCAGCAGGACAGTGTTAACATAAAGAAGAGGTTTTAGAAGAGCTTAAGGTATTAAGTCCCTGAGGACTGTTCCAACTCCTGAATTCCCAGTTTTGTAGGCCAGTTTGCATTAAGTTTTTGTGACTTTCAACTACAGTTTAGACTTAGATAGTGTCTTTTACACCCTACCTCCTATTCCATTTACCAGGGACCCCTACATCATTTCTTCTAGTCCCTGAGTGAGAAAAATATGCATTGTCAATGGACTTGACAATCTTGCGCTCTTTGTGGGTTTTTTTTGTTTTTGATTTTTGGTAAAGATTAGTATATTTACATAATTCAGAGCACCTCCCTCCACACAAAAAATTATTAATTACAAAAGGAAAAAGAATAACTTTATATTGAATGAGCCTGGCAGACCACGTCAATCAAGAGATCAGAGCGAACATCATCAGGAATGGGACAAATCTGTACCGTGTGTTTGGATGCAATGAGATGAACACATGATCACTTCTGTGATTTTCCAGCTTATAATGCATAATTTGAATCTAATCATGAGGAAATAGACAAACCAAACTGAAGGACATCTGTTAAATAAATGGCCTATAATCCTCAAAAGTGTCAAAGTTATGAAAATCAAATAAGGCTGAGAAACAGTTCCACACTGAAGACAATGAAAGTGACAGGCCAACTGTACCGTGAGGTTGTGAGCTGGGTGCTTTTGCTGTAAAGGACATTGTTCAGTCAATCTGAGAAACTTGACTGGGGACTAAGAATTGGATGGTTGTAATGAAATAATGTTAATTTCCTTATTTCGATGGTTGTATTGTGGTTTTGTAAGAGATTGTCCCTTTTTAAATGAAATACACAGAAAGTATTCTGGACTATCAGGTTGGCAACTTATTAAATGATCAGGGAGAAAGAAAGTATTCTTTTAAATTGAAGTATAGTTGATTTACATTATTGTATTAATTTCTAATGTATAGCATAATTATTCATTTATATGTATATATTCCTTTTCATATTCTTTTTCATTATAGGCTATTACAAGGTATGAATATAGTTCCCTGTGCTATACAGTAGGGCCTTGTTGTTTATTTTATATATAGTAGTTAGTATCTGTACATCTTGAAGTCCCAATTTATCCCTTCCCATTCCCTCTCTCCACTGGTAACTGTAAGTTTGTTTTCTATGTTGAGTCTGTTTCTGTTTTGTAAACATGTTCATTTGTATCTCTTTTTTTAAAGATTCCACAAATAAGTGCTATCATATGGTATTTTTCTTTCTCTTTCTGGCTTACTTCAGTTAGAATGATGATCTCCAGGTCCATCCATGTTGCAGCAAATGGCATTATTTATTCTTTTTTATGGTTGAGTAGTATTCCATTGTATAAATATACCACAACTTCTTTATCCATTCATCTGTGAGTGGACTTTTAGGTTGTTCTCATGGCTTGGCTACTGTAAATAATACTGCTGTGAACATTGGGGTGCACATATCTTTTTGAATTAGAGTTTCCTCTAGATATATGCCCAGGAGTGGGATTGCTGGATCATATGGGAAGTCTATTTTTAGTTTTTTAAGGAATCCAGGAGTAATGTTTTATAAATTTGCTTCAACTTATTAAATATTAAAACTGTGTTAAGGAAAATAGCATTTTCATAACTGCAGCTAAATTGTTTACATAGAAAGCTAGCACTGGGTGAAAGATACATACAGCAACACAATGCTGTAAACATTGTTTTGAAAACATGCAATGCATTGTTCACATTGAATTCACATAATTATTTTCATTATATGAGGAAGAATGTTTCATTGAAACAAGCAAAAAGTTTTTGCTTAGCGTAAAGTAAGTACATTTTTATTCACATGTATAAAAAGTATCTGTAATAGGAAGTCCATTAAAACCAAAACATAATCAAGCCTGAGGGAAAATTTGTATTAAAAAATGGGTTGCTCTTTCCAGATAATGAAAATGCTGATATATTTGCACCAAACTCTTGTACTATTAGGGAAACATTTTTAAACAACAAAAGGCATTGAAGGAAACACACAATACAGAAAATTGAAGGTATCAATATATGTCACACATGTTCCAAAATGCCACCTAGGCAGGATCTACAAAAGAATCATTTTTTTTTAAATTACAAAAATTCTAGACACTCCTTTAATAGTATAAATGCCATACACAACACATCAAATCAAACCAGTAACTAATACAAATTTGTTACATTCAATTAGTACAAAAGCAGTATGATATATATGAAATTAAGCTTTTAAACAGCACCAACAAAATTTTTTTATTAAAAAATTCTCTTGTACCTAAAGGAAAAGTATACACACACATAAATTATCTGAGAAATAGAAAAAAAAGGTCAGAATTTTACAGGCAGATGGGAAACCAGACCCAGAGGACACTGTTGCTCTAGTTTTCAATTGTTCTCAGAATTTTCACCAAACTCTGTATATTTACTCAGAGGGCACTTTATTATGAGATGCAAAACTTTGACATAATCATAGTTCGTGCTCTGTTTAATTTTTTTCACTTTGAAAAGAGAATATTCTGTGTAGAATTATCTATCCCACTGAAGGCATAACCCTATAAATGTGTATTTATCTTTTTCTAGTCTTATTCCCTTTTCATGCCCATGTTACATTCATTTCCTGATTGTAATAGAGGAGAAAACTGTTCTAATTAAATATAAAACTTTGTCAAAATAGATTTAATGGTTAACACTAATCAGTTACCTGGGGAAGAAGTACAAACAAAACACATCAGTCGAACTAAAAAACCCACCACCAAAAGTACAACTGTAATGACTAGAAAAGGGTGCATGAGATAGAAATATGTGTCAATAATTTTATATTGAGATATTTTCCTTTCAATTATCATAAGCATTTGTTAATTGTGGTTCTATCATATTTTCCATTTTTTAAAGCTTTTTAAAATTTTGTTTTGTCTTATTTTTGTTTTTTTGGGGAGGCAGAGGGGGAAGGTAATTAGTTTATTTATTTAAAAAAAATTTTTTTAAATGGAGGTACTGGGGATTGAATCCAGGACCTTGTGCCTAAGCACGCATTTTTACCAATGAGCTATACCCTCCCACCTCCTTTTTATATTTAAAGTATTATGAGCTCAATATTGGATGCTCTACAAATACCAGTGATTCATCTTAATGATGAACTCTAGATTTGTTCAAGTTAGAGCAATAGTTTTACACAAAATGATGACATATGACAAATCTAGGCTACCACTGGGGCAACGGGTTGTCACAGGCTCTGAAGCTAGCTTTACAGTTTAGATTCTGTGAGTCAATGGGAGTAAACAAGTTCGTGAATTATTTCAAATTGTGATTCAATAAAAGATGTATCATATCTTATATCTTATATTCTTATTCCTCCTAAGAAACACATATGTGTATGACAATACTATACAGACATCTAATATATACACACACAGATTTATATATATATATATGACAAATGCATATACATTTCTCATAAAGACTTAGAACTGTATTTTACAATTTTATAACTTGAGACAGCATATTTCTATAGGTATGAGATGGGCCTAGAAAAGTGTGCTTGCTGATTCTAAACTTAGCTCTCACCAACATGTCAGATTTTGGGCAAGTAATCCTTCTATGCCTTAGTCTGATTGTTAAAGTAACTAAAGTAGAGTTTGCCTCCGACCTTTTAAAGAGGATTAAAATAAGTGCAAAGTGCAAACTTACATAAAGAAAAGTGCTTATGTAAAGCCAAGGCATGACTAATAGTAAAATTTGTGTAGGTAATAAAGGTGGCTTGAAAAGGACCACTTTTCATAATATCTAAATGTTGCTAGATGACTTCTTTGTGACAAGCAACTGAAGAGACTGAAAATCTAAAAGGTAAAGTCTTTGGCAGTCTGTAGTGATTAAGGTTTTGCTTTTATCTGTCTTAAGATCATGCTGTCTTAAAAGAGAGACATACACTCACACAGTGTAATATGATTTATATTTTTTAAACATTTAATTTGGAAAGAATTATCAAATGCCTGTGGGTTTTAATCTCACCTCTGTAAAAATGATAAAACAAAATACCATTTTATAAATGGTCTTAAATAATAGGAAAAAGCAATGCCTGGCAAAAACATAGAGAATGGAATTTTCTATTTCTCAGAAGTAAGTTATTTTTTGAGGTCCTGCAAAGAGGAAACAAGTTCACGTACACATACACACCCACTCAAATAAATGTGTGCAAACACATCCATTCCAGACGTTTATAGCTTATACTCTACTACGTTCTTGAGGGGAGACTGGTCATATATAAGATTAGAAGAAGATACAAAATACAGGTCCAAGTGATTACCTGTGGAGTTCTGCGTCCAGACATTGAGATACAAGGGGTTGCTGGTCACTTTAATCAATATTATTTGCTAGCAGAGAAGTAAGTTACTTCTTCTAGATTCTCAAACTGTTATTTATGAATTTCAACAAATTTTCCAAATTAATAATTTATATAGTTATATGCAGATAACTTAGAAATGAAAATGGGTGTGTCTACTTGACAGTAACATGTGCAACTTTATCAAGTTCTACTCATTCTTAGCTCTGAGGCCTGTATATTTCTTTAATAGTATAACAACCCTTGTAAATCCTTGCCATTACAACCCTGTACCCTCTGAAGAATTAGTTCCCTAGCAAGTATTTTTTTAAGAAAAATTACTGACCCCACTCCCCATAATAAAATATGACCGATAGCAAGAGTTCACGACTAAACTGTGCAAAATATAGTGAATGCTGTGCAATAATTTAAAACATAAAACCAAGTGATCACATTAAGGTCACCAGTTTATATTTAAATGCCGAATTCTATGAAGTATTTCCAACCAAAAAGAAATCCTAAAAAAGAGCAGGTCCAATATTATGACTTGGGATAATCTAATAATTAGAAATTCTTACTTTTTAAAAAAATATTCAACACAAGATGTCTAAAACCTTTTTCAGTATAAAGGATACAGACAGCTCACCAGTCCTAGCTGTGATATCCATAACGCAGAGTTTTTGAATGACTTAAATGAACAAAAAAGTGCTCTCTTAACTGCAAGGATACGGAGTCACAGTTCCTTATCCAGCTGATAATGATCAAGTCCAGGTCCAAGATGTCGACAGAACTTCAGCGGCATATTACACGTGCTTATTCCTCCTTTATGCTCTGTAGTTTGTCATAAAGGGCTGAACTGACACGTCCTTTCTGGTCCAGGAAAATGAGCCATTTAAATAATGTGAATGTTCTATATCACCAAGACAACAGGGCAGGCTTAGTGAGATGGGAGTGACATAGACTTTTTAAATACCCTAAATCCTTTTGTTGGCCCAGGATATGGTGGTGGCGGCGAAACATTGTGTTTTCTGGTCAGTGCCATTGCCTGCTCATAAGAAGGTAATCCTGTGTCCTCCACTAAAGATGGCGAAGGAGACAAGACGGCCTCCTCAGGTCTTCTGAAAATGATGGAGGGAGTATGTCTGCCCCTTCTTACATAGGTGTCTGAAGAACTAAACAGAAACAGCATTTAGGTCTAGGAAAGGCAGCATTTTTAGGTTAACATGGCAATATTAAAAAAAAAAATCCAACTATTTTGATAAAAGTTGAACCTGATTTATTAATATAAGAATGGTTTTATTTTATTCCTAAACTCTGAAAAAGTCTTAGTATAGGGGAAAGATCAAGAGCTTTGAAGTCAGTCATGGGTATGAAACAGGATCCTATCATTTCATGGCTATGAGACCAAAGGCCGGTTAACCTAACTCAGTTTTCCTCCTCTGTAAAATGGGGATAATAATAGCTACCTCAACAGAGTTGTTTCGTGTGGTCTGAGAAAGATGTCATATGTGAAGCATCTCAGCAATATCTGGAGTACTATAATGAAGACTCAAAACATGCAATTCCCTTTTTCTTCTGCTCCTGAATTAAAACTTTTCCAAAGGATGGTGTGAAACCAAATCCAGGCTTTGTTGAAAGGCAGCACTACTCCATGCCAAGGAAACTGATGCCTCAGAGATGATCACAACAGCAGATGCCCGTCTCTCTCCTCTGCCCCCCCCTGCAGCCCAGCTCCCTGGGCCACCCCTTCTAAACAGTACTTCCATCATGTCAATCTTCTCTGCGAAAGTCTAACCTGCAGTCTACTTTCCACTGAATCAAGTTCTAACTCCTGTGCCTCCTTTTCAAAATCTCCCTTATTCTGGCCTTGCCTTATTTTCTGTAGCTCTCTGCCATTGCCAAGGTAGCCTCTTGACTCTCCTCTGCATGTGCAATGAATTCTCTGTTCTCTTTCACTGGTACTGTTCCTTTTCTCAGATTACTGTCCTTTCCCCACTTCATTGATCCAAGCCCAACAATTAGAAAAAAAAAATATATACGGCTTAGACCAAGTCCCACCATTTTCACAAAACTTTGTTACCTACACCAGCCAATGAAAATTGAAATGCAAAGCAGGTCTGGTGTTTTGAAACTACATTTTTCCCTTCTTACTTGTGAATTACAAATTATAATTTAAACATCAGTAAACCAATCTGTTTAGACTGTGAAGTTGGCTGTCTATGAAGTATCTATGCATAAATTTACCTCCTAAAGTTACGGCTGATAATATAATTAAAACCTATGGGTAATCCCCAACCTCTACTCAATATTTACAATATTCTTCCCAACAAGACATAGTTCAGCCGACCCAAAATACTGTAAACTTTTGCAAACTAAATTAGTCAATTTGCCCCATAGGATACCTTTTCCTTTGTAGATAATAGTGAGATCTGAAACTGGACAGGAGAGAAGAAAATTGCAGAGAGAGAGAGAGACAAAAAGAAAAAGATCTGTGTAAATCTAGGAACTGAATAATTAACCCTTCGATAGTTGAGAGGTGACGGACAGCATCATAAGTTTACTTAGCAGGCTCAACACAATTCCTCCTCTGTCAGAAATCTGGAATGTATTCACGTACTCGTCACTTGCCACATTCATTAGCTTGTGACGAAAAGTGCTACTTGTTTGCTTACAGGAGACAGGAGAGACATGTTTTATTTGAGCAAATAAATTTTTCCATGTTGACCTTCAAAATTTAAGTTATAGGAACAGTATAATTATATTAAAGTCATTAAGTGTCTAGACAGTGATTTTTTACGCACATCTTAAATGACTGAAATCAGAAAGTACCCACCATGAACATCTCAAATAAACTGACAACATCATATTATGCCAATTTTCCTCCATAAAATATAGGGACTAAGAAATGAAAAGATCTTGTTTCCTATTTCTTGGCATGTATTGCAGAAGAATGAGGCAAACTATTGTAACAATGAGCTTATTTTTTACTCTTTTCTTTTTCAAATAGTCCTTCGCCCATCCGCCATTTCCAGACTTGCAGACTATACAAAGAGAACAAATACTTCTGCTGGAAGAAATGTCTTGGGACAATTTGATGAAAAGCACTTTAGTAAGTATTTAAAAGTTAGTTCTGACATAAGTGAATGTCTAGTAAACCTAGTTTGAAACGTCCCTTATAAAGTGTTGCTTTGAGGATCAAAGTGAGACAATAGACATAAAAATGATCTGTAAATGGTACAGCATTATACTGTACTAACATTAAGTATAATAATCTAACTTTTAAAATGAGATGGCTAGTTTTTTTTTTAATCTTATGATAACATACTCCGAAAACACACATAATAATGACACCTCTTTGCTCTCTGTGTTTTTGAATTCGTCTTCCAACCTCATGCAGGAAAGAAGTGAGAGGTTTTGCAGAAAAAAAGGCATAAGGTAAGAAGATGTAGTGAGTGCAGAAAAGTAGAAAAATGAAGAAAAACTGGGGAGAAGAGAGAAGAAAATGTCATGAGGATACTGAATAATGGCTTTGCTATCACAGACCTTGAAGGAAATGATTAAACACGAGGTGCATACATGGACTGTTTTGGCAAAATATTGTGGATGAGGTGGAAAAGACGGAAAGCTAAAAGGCAAGAAGAGTTTCCAAAGACACATTTTGCCTATTTCTTTATTAACTGTGAGTTTCTAGGTATCCCGCAGCTTGTGGAAAAAGCCATATTGAGTAAAACCTTAGTGAAGAGTCATTTCCTATCTGTTAAGTAAGGGAAATTAGTAGAACTCTCTCAGCTTAAAAGACAGTGGCTTAAGAAAAACGGCACAGGTTCTTTCTTACTTTCTCTCACTTTTCGAAATTTTATAGGATTTACAGAGCTCTCTGACAATCTCCTTAGTCCCTGCCCATCAATCACATTAATGCCTTGGGGAACTGTTCAGGAATTCCAGCTGGGGCACAGAATTACGATTATGGTGCCCCTGTCCTCTGCCTTCTTTGCTGCCATGTCCTCCTCTGCACCCTTACCGAGGCATCCTTTAAAGTTCTGTCCCTTGCCTTCTGTCATTTCATCACACTCAGAGAACTTGCCTACTCTCATGGCTTAGCTTTAATCCTCTCATGGAGGAATCCCTTTTTTTAAAATAATTATTTTTTATTGACGTTTAGTTGATTTACAGTGTTAGTTTCAGGTGTATAGCAAAGTGATTCAGTTAAATATACACACACACACATACATATATTTTTCAGATTCTTTCCCATTACAGTTTATTACAAGAAATTGAATATAGTTCCCTGCGCTATACAGTCGGTCCTTCTTGTTTATCTATTTTATATATAGTAGTGTGTATCTATTAATTCCAGACTCCTAATTTATCCCAAATGGAGGAATCCTAATTTCACATCTGTTGCCCTAAACTCTTACCTCAACAGTAAAGAAAAAATATTTATTGTGGTAAAATATGTATAACATAAAACTTACCACTTTAACCATTATAATTGTATAACTCAGTGGTATCAATTATATTCACAATGTTGTGCAACCATCACCAAGATCTGTTTCCATAATCTTTTCATTACCTGGTTACCATCATGAGCTTCTTCACAAAATTTATAAGTGTGAATAGGGACACATAAACATACATTTTGATAGCCTGTTTAGCACCTGGTGCTTTTTTTGAATAAAGGTTATTTCTACACTTCCCCATCTATACTTACAGAGAAGATACTATGGATAGTATAGAAGATAATAACTTTTTATTCTAATAAGGATGTTGAGATTCTATTATGCAGACAGTTATGGCCTTTATGAAGCTTTAGAAAGCTTTCCTCATGCACTGGAGTTCATTTTATAGCTATATACCAATATTGATTTGTTAGTTTTACAAACATGTTCTGGCAACATAAGATATTAACAACAAGGGAACTGGGTGAAGGATATATGGGAGTCTCTGCTATCTTTGCAACTTTTCTGAATATCTAAAATTATTCCAAAATCAAGAGTATTTTAAAAAATAGGCAACCGTTTTTAAAGCCATTTAAAAATAACAGTATAGAATGTATAATAGTGAATTGAGTATTTTTACTTGGTACTTACCCTGGATATTGATGCTGGTTACACTTAGTGATACAAAGATAGTAACCAAGTAATCCAAAAATAACCAAAAATACTCCAGCAGCAATTAAGCCAGTCAGAAGACCCATAACATCAATTTTCTCTCTGTTGCCATCTTAAGAGAAATCATTAAAATAACATAAGTATAACTGAAAAGCACCACCTATGATTTCAATAAATTTCATACTGAATGTATGCACACTATTAAGCATCTAATAATTAATATTGATTACTTTTAAAAGTCTGTGCTAAAGACATGACCAGAAAAAATTTCAATTCTCTTTCTAAAAGCCCTAGTTATGGCTTCATTTATTTTAAACAAGTCATATTAAATGGGTAACATTCAAGACTAAGTGGGATAAACATTCTTTGTTCAGTGATACATATTTTGGTATTAACTACTAAGATAAGTGTCCTATGCAGCTCCAGTGGAGCCATGTAGTCTCCCTACAGCGGGGACCTATCTAGAGGGGATGAAAAAATAGCTGGCAAAAACGAAACAAAACAAAAACAAAAACTTGACTGAAAAGCAGTTAGAGATGATCAGTGCGAATAAAATAAAGGATCTCGCCTTTCTATGAGTTATTTAATTCTAACAATGTTAACTTACCTACTAGCATAAGTATTCTAGTCACTTGTATAAAGAAAAGAATTAAAACAGTTTACTACTTGAAACTAACAGAGTTCTACTTTATTCTGTGCAAGTCTTGACTTAGCTGATCTGTTTAAAACAGCATTAAGCCTATTATCTCGTTTCCCTAGTATCTCACCAAACTTGATTTTCAGTGTATAAATAGATGCACGTGACCTTTTCTGTCTTAGACAGCCCAGTGTATAATTGAGAAATCCTCCTCGGATTTACAAGGTATGTATATTGTGCAACAACCATACTTAAAACAATGAAATGAAAAATGTATTACAATAGAGAGAGGGTGGAAAAAAAAAACATTAAAATTGATTGATTCTTGCCTTACCTGATTTTGTGGTTGGTCCTTTAATAGAGTATTCTTGCCAAAATGCCATCTAAAAGAAAGGTAAATATTCCAAGTTTATTTAATTGCTTTATTATCATTTCATTTGGTCTCGGTGACCCAGACTAGGGGTACAAAATTCCTGGCATGTGCCACAGGTAGGATACCAGTCCATTCAAGCTGGAGGGAGTGACTCACTCTCATTAAAGCACTGCACCCACCACTGTTTCTGCCAGCTTTCTACCACTGTCCTCTGCTATTCTCCCTTCGCCGGCCCAGAGCCCTCACTCAGGCATCAGGGAAAACTGTCACATTAGAAAGTAGATGAAAGTAGCAAAGGTGGACGCTGAAACAGGGGACTCACTATCATGTTTGAAAAGGAGTCCGATATTTTTCTACATTAGATGGGCCCTCAGTTTGCTAGGAGATTTTACTGAAAGGTATTTACTGGTTTGGAAAGACATCCCTGGGACGGTTTCAGTTCAGTGTCACTTGAGAGAACGGAAGCCGATTTTAAGGAACTGTGATACAATTAGAAAATGGGTTTGTGAAAAACAGAGTAAAATTTCAACAGGCACAGCTACAAGGTACAGACTTTGTTTCCCTTCTCTGATAGATGCAGCAGATGATGGCAGGGAATGGGAGCCTGGGCACAATTTTGGGAGGAAAAAGAACTTAGTTCCAGTAACACCTGCATTTGAAGGATACAGAGAGGTTCTTATTGACTAAAGAGTAAAATGGAGTTCTTGAGGAAGGGGAAAAGGAGAAAGGGGTTCTTTAAGATACAAAACTAAATAATTTAAGTCACTTAACATTCTTAAAGAATATGCCAGATTATAACAGAGATAGTGCTGCTTGTTTTGTACTTTTTCAGGATTAACAGACAGGATTTAATTATATTTTAAGGGAAAACTTCTAAAAGTTCACTGCCAAGCAATAAACTGAATGTGGGACTATATATTCTGCACCCTCAGTTTCTAGCAGAGCACTTGGCACATAGCAGATTGTTAGTAAGTACTGGAAGTATAAATAAGGTAATCAACAAAAGTTAAGTCCAATGGGAAAAATTGTTGAGTCTTGAATGATTAAAGCCTAAGTCAGAGAACTAACTCAAATAATATCCTGAAGTTTAATCTACTCTGCTTCATGATTGTTTTTGAACATCGTAAACATTAAACACACAAAATCACAACATAATTGATACTTTGCTAATTACATAACCCAGCTAAGTATAAAGTCAAGTGTAAATGGGGTAATTAGCATTTTAGGAAAGTAGAATGAGATAACAGGTATACAATCCTAGTTTTATTTAAGGTGTACCATCTCTAATGACTTGCGGAAATGAAAGTGCCATTTTCTTAAGTGCAATTTAATAAATGTCTAGCCAATTAACATCATCATTCAAATTACCGTTTTATCTTCATCCACAAAAATCTCTCTGGCTTCCTCATAATTACAAAGTTCTTCTGTGCACTCTCTTTCTAGGTCACCGGGAGTGAAGAGCTCCAAATCAAATCTATTATATAGAAGGTGTCTATGGATGAACGAGTTTGCCTCTTCTTTTGATGTAAAGACTAATGAAGAAACAGAAAGATTTCACACATTAATAAAAACAAGGCAGAAAATTCCTGTTTTATTTGTGGGAAAACCAAATAGTTCTCTTGATGTGGTTAAATTATACCAAATTTTCTTGTGTGGTTTTAAAATCTGACATAAAGAAGAATCATCAATAAAAATAATTTCTGCTAATCATGAAATACAGATATTAGCAAAACTCCAGAACATATATGAGTTGATTATGTCCAAAATTATCAGCATAAATGAAAATTGTTTGAGTATCACTTTTCCTTCTAGACAATTATTTTTCCAATAAATGACAGGCCAGACTATTCTATTTCTAAAGTGTTGGTTTCCTATTATCTTGACTGAGAAAAATTAGTCTGGTGTAATGAACAGAGTATTGGATTAAGAGTTAGAGGACAGAGATTCTTCTTTTTTGATTTGGCTTAGTTATCAGCTGTATATCCTGGGATAAGTCACTTACATCTCTGGGTTGCCATTTCTTTATTTGTAAAACTGGAATATGAACTAAGTAATCACTAAGATCTCTTAATGTTTTAAATTTTTAAATTGATACATTTATGTTAAAATTGTTGTATCAAGTTTATACTAAAAATGTTTAAACTTCTAAGTTGATAAAATTATAAATTAATTGTAAGATTCATTAAAAGCCATCCAGTCCTTCCCAAAGTAGTAGCTCCCTCCACCCAGTCCCTAAACACGTGTCTACAAAGCTTTACAAGACTCCTTTTACATTTGCTGGGAAGGTAAATGGTAAACATGATAGTTAATCACAAGTTGACACAAAACCAAAATATCCTACCATGGCAGTATTTTCAAAACCCACAGACTTCAAACTCGTTCTGGTGTCACAAACAAAGCTGAAGGGATCTGGCCCCAGATCACATTACAGAGACTGGAATTCAGAAACTCTGAGAACTACATCAGGTGCTGAAAAGAATTTAAAAGCGTTGGTATTTCTCATTGCTAACCATTATGAAAGGAGGAACAAGTTAAAATGGGCGACTGAAAGACAGATCAAGACTAAGGACAGCACATGGCCTGGAAGACTAAGACTGATTTGAGAGTGACCTCAGGTTGGCTATTTATTCTTAGCCTTTGAGAACAGTCACACCTTGGCCAGGATATTCTTCCTACTAATCAATCACTTTTCCAAGTTGGTTTGAATCTTATAGAGCTGTTTTGTTCAATACAGTAGCCACTAGCCACATGTGCCTATTGAGCACTTGAAATGTGGCTTGTCTGAACTGAGATATACATGGGACTGCAAAGACATAGTGAAAAAAGAAAGAAAGAAAGTGAAATATCTCAATGCTTTATATTGCTTATATTTGGAAAAGATATTTTGGATATATTGGGTTAAATTAAATTCATTATTAAAATCAATTTCACCTATTTCTTTTTACTTTTTTAATGTGACTACTAGAAAATTTTTAATTATGTATATGGTTCATATTTTATTTCTGTTGGCCAGTGCTACTCTAGCAGATTCATTTTTATGTTATAAATAACATATATGGGCTATCTGAACCAAGCAGGAAGCTAGAATGGGGTCATTAGTGACCACTGCTTTGAGAAATATTCTAAGAGGTAGACCAGTGTGATGAAATATTTTTGTTTTTTTCTTCTCCATTTCCTTCCCTTTCTTGTAGATGTTATGTTACCACTACATGGAGACAGAACGAAAAATTTTCTAAGTCTCCACTATCTGTCATTGGGATTCTTGCAATGTTCCTCTAAGGGGGTCTCCTTGTGCCTTACAGCTGCACTGGATTCCAATATGCCTGGTTCTCTCCTGCCTTTGTACCTGCTATTTCCTCTCAATAGAACTTTCTTCTTTCAGTTTGCTCTCTCACCTCCTTCAGGACTTTGTTCAATATTACCTTGAAACCCATCCTCAACCACCCCCTTCCGCACTCCCCACTCCCTATTGTACTTTGTTTTTCTCCGCAGCACTTATGACCAACTAGTGGTCCCTATGCTTTACTTACTTATTTGTTACCACTCTGTTCCCCTCACTAGAAGGAAATTTCCATTAGAGCAGGGATGTTGGTTCCCGACACACAGAGGTGCCCAAAAAATTACTTATAAATTACATGAATATATGCGACATTCCTATAGTGGGAAGGAGCTCTTGGACCGAAATTCTACCAGTTGAAGCAATTCAGAGGTATAGCCTGCTACTCAGCTTGGCATGGGTTTACAATACTAAACCAATGATAAGGTAACTCTGAGCTTGCCTAACTTAGCTATGATGTACTTACTACATGAAATCTAATTCTAGAATGGAGAATTAACAATCTGCCTCTGTATTGTTGCTTCTCAGATATGCTCAGATATTTACATTTTATTGGCTAGAAGAGCAATGCCAAATTTCTCATTGTCAGTCTCCTGTTCAAGTCAGTTATCTGAGTTGTAAAACACCTCTGCCCTCCAAATGGGATTCTCAGCTTGAAAGGAAAGTAAGAGAGTCATAAACATTTTGATTGTTCCTGAAATGATATTTACGCCAATGAAGGTCTCCACCACTGTGTAAAACGTGCCTTCCAGGGGCTGCTGTGTATCACTTCCCTGAGTGTCAAAGTTCCGATTCAGTCCGCAGTTGACCTTAGACCTTCAATGCCTTATCAGATTTCTTCCTGCCTCCCTTATGATCTTAGGAGAAATACTATCCTTTGTTATTTGGGTTCTAAGTAGCCTTGGATTTGCTTATAGTTGAAAGAAGTAAACTTCCTTGCCTCTGGAGTATCCTGAACTCTCAGTGAGAATTCTGTTTTCCCTCTGGTCATTGCTGGAAGATGCACTAGCCTTGAACTTCTGTATCTGCCTCCTCAGATTTTCTTCCCATCTCTTTCTCCAGTCTTAGACCATATTAAGAGGTTGTATGTGGATTCTGCTGTTTTTAACCCACCAACTGAGATATTCCATTCTCTCCCTCTCTCCTGTCTCCCCATGTTTTCTAAATAAATTCCTTTTCAGTCATTTCAACCCTCCTCTTGGGTTTTGTCAGAATGTAGCTGAAGGTTCTTTATTTTCCTAACTGCTTCTCATATCTCTATTTATTATATCTCATATGAAGATAGAGAGCACTGGCTTCTGTGCCATAGGTTTACACCCTACCTCTTCCACCAGATGAAGCAATCCTCCGATCCTCCGGGGCAGGGATTGTAGTCTTTCATTTCTACATCTCCCATACCTGGCACATTCTATGTATTGATAAAGTAGTTATTAACCGAACAAATCAGCTTTTTAATATAGGATTCCTCATTTACATTTCCCACAGATCTCTCCAGCCTTCCACACTCAAGTATGATCTCTAAATTCCTTCTGTAGTTTGTGATGTCCTTAAGAGTGTCTTTTGTGCCTATATCATGTGAATGAATGAACACACTCACAGGCACTCTGGGGATCAGCATCTGGTACCACTGAGTATAGATCATTAACTTTATATACGAGTGGACTGTCAACCTTATATAGTGCAACCTGGGAGGCACCAAGAAGGCTCTCCTTCCAAATCTCCCCTATCCCAGCGGCTAGACTATCCAACTGCCTAGAATTCTGCTGTCAGCGCTTGATTCCTACGGGTTACGACACTTCCCTATCTTAATACACACACAGACTCCTAGAAGGTTTGACACCCTAAGCTGTATTAATTATTAATAAGTCATCCAGTAATATTAGTGTAACCAGATCCTTCCCAAAAGAAAATGAGGTGAGTAGGATCTGATGAGAATGAATAGGGACAGGAATGTGTAGGACAGGAGGTGGATCCAAAGCACTGGCACTGTGTAGGGAAGCACAGTGACTAGACAAGAAGAAATGAAAGCCTTTTTTTTTTCTTCTCTCTTTTCTGTTTTTCTCTAGGTTGGCCTTTTAAAATGTGGTCAGGAATCAGTCTGTTTGTCACCCGGAGCCCACTAGGTGTGGAATTCTAGGTTAGCATGCCCCAAACCTAATTTTCTCACACCATCTGGCTTTACCCAGATAATCAGACATTTTAAAGTTAAAAAGTATCTCAGAGATCATTCCACTCCCCACCCCCATCTTACAAGCTGAAAGGGGCGAAGTAACTTGCCCAGGGCCTCACAACAAATCCAAACTAGATCCTGGACTCCCTGTCCGTCTTTCCAGGAAGAACAAGTAATTATGTTTATTATAATTACCACGTAGCCTCATCTAGAACAAGGGCACTCATTGATTTTCAGAAGTTGAAATAGGTTTTCCATTCAGTTAACCACAAACCCGGTTTTAAATATATATGTTTATCAAAAGTAACTCACAGAAACAAATGTGTATAAAATGCGCTTAACATAACAAACCACAACATTACCAAATAAGCCGCAAATTGAAAGATGTTTTAGTGCTTCTATGATTGATGGTGGCTTGTAATCTCAAAGACTACACTTTCTCCTTTAAGTCTAATACGCGGCTCGGGTTTCCACGACAGTTTTCTTGGAAACTGAAGCCAGGCTTACCTTCTTCTTCCTCATGCCTCGACTTCTCCGGACTTCTTGTGCAATGAGGAAACGCGAAGGTAACTACGGTCAATTGGCTGAGTAGCACCAGAAGTATAAACATAGTCCAGCAACTGTCAGACAAACTGAAACAAACAAAATAACCAACAAGCAAACAAGAAAACATGTCAAAAAAGCCCCTGGCTCAGCACTTTGAGTTTCTGTGGGAACTGAGTCACCGACCTGTTGTGCTCAAAGCCACCGCGCGACTGTGTCTCGAGCGCGGTTTCGGTCTCCAGGGTCGGACCAGCGCCCGGAAGCAGCGCCGGGGAATAAATGCCACCTCCCGTCGCCCCGCCCCCAGGACTTTACAGACGGCTGAGCGGGCACCTGCTGCCGTGGGTGACCCTCTGCTTTGTGTTCGAATCGCACCCAGTCTACCGAGGTGGCCGCCTCCGAGTCACCCACTCCCCACCCGGGGGCCGGGCCGTCGGACCCCGCACCTGCAGCTCCGGGCGCATGTTCCAGCAGCTCCCGGGCCGGAGCCCCGTGCTTGGGTAGTCCCCGCGGCCGCCAGACCCACTGTCTCGGCGCCACCCAGATCCGTGCGTCTCTCTCCGAAGAGTCGGGGAGGCCCCCGCGCTCGGGCAGAGAAAGCGCCTGAGGTCCGCAGAGGGGCGCCCTGGCCAGTCCGGGGACGCGCGGCGCTGAGTCCTGCCTTGATCCCGGGAGGCCGCGGACTAGAGCGGTGGGAAAGGGAGGAGGCAGCTACCTGGGAGTACCTGCCCGCGCTCCTCCTCCCACGGGCCGGCCTACCTGCGGCGGGCGGGCAGTTGGCAGGAGTCTCCAGGAAGCCTACGCCTCGCTGTCGCCGCCACTGCTTCTGCCCTGAGTGCTGGGCAAGCCTGGCCGCCTGCAGCCACTTCTGGCCCCGCCTTGGCGCGCGGGTGGCAGGTTTTAGATTCCTTTCTGGATCCTGCGTCCTCTGCCAACTCAGGGGAGCGTGTTCAGCTCCCAGTGCTAAGCAGAGCCCCTCCCCTCCCGGCTCCAACCCCGACCCCCGCGCGTCCCGGGCTTTGGCTTTGGGTTCCACTAGACCCCTAGGCAAGAGGGTCTTAGGTCTCAAAAATGTGGTTCGGGAACGAGAAGTAGATAGTCATCAGAGAAAATACACTATTAGTAATATGAAATGGAAAGTGCTTAAAATTAATCAATTACATCGGTTCTCAAACTGTGGTCCTCTGGGTTTGGGTCATCTCCAAGATCCGTTCAAGGGGCCGAGGCCAAAACTATTTCCATTATGGTACAAAGACATGATTTGCCTTTTTCACTTTCATTCTCTCATGAATGTACGGAAATTTCCAGAGGCCATTTGACGTGTAATGATGTTATCACTCAGCTCCCTCATAGAATGCTTGCATGTGTATTGCGTTTTCCAACACTTTCTATGATAGTGGGTTTAAATATCAATATGAACATTTGTTACAGAGATTTAGAGAGATTAATAAAATCTGCTTGTTCTCAGTGTTCCTGTACTTTTATTAGCTACCTTTAATTTAGTCATACCTTCTAAGATAGCTCAAAAAGTTACCTGAAATCTTGAGATTTTCTTTGAGCCCATACAGGAACACAACAAACAGTAAGTACACTTTGTTGTCTTGATTTGAAATAATATTTTGAAAATTTCTCAATTTTAATATGTAAGATGATAAATACTAGTAGATATAATTCGCGTAAGGGGTCCTCAATAATGTTAAGGAGTGTAAAGAGATCCAGAGATCTAAGAGTTTGAGGATTGCTGCCTCAAGTAATGAAGAGCACCTGTGCCAGATGATGGTCACAGACTTCCTTGTCTGAACAACATGGTTAACAACTCTTTGGAACATTATTCAAGTTTCCATGCTTTGGCCAAAGTGGCTTGGAACTTGCTAGAAGCAAGGAACAGGAAACATCTCCTTAGAAGACCTGTTGTACTATTTATTCATTCACTTAGCCAGACTAAGCCCTGAGGATAGAAAGGTAAACACCATAGTTTCTGTTTGGGGGTAGAATTTAGTCTAAGATCTATATCTAAGAATGTGGGCCTGTAAAGTTCTTATTGCAGGGGAGAACTGACTTATTCATCTTTATATCCTCCACAGTCCCCAGCAGAGTACCTTTTGTGTTGTTCATGCTCAATATGCTTTTTTTAGGGGGGCAAGGGTAGAAGCAGTTTATTTTCAGATCAGAAAAGTGCTTCACACTGTATTTGGAGAGGCAAATAGTCAAATGCCTCATGCTGCAGAACTTTGGTAGACATTTCTTGGTAGAATTCGTTCACCCACATATCCAAATACTTGGACCAAAACAAATGAGGCTTTGTGCTTACACCATATACCAGAGTTTACAATCTGAGAGGGAGTCAGATACGGAAGCGAAAGTCTGTTTCTCAGTGGTAAGTTACATCCCTGTAGGTTTCTCTGTAATGTTGGATCCTAAAGAGTATTAAACCATTGGGCATGGGCACACAAACTTCAGCCACTATGGAGCTGCAATATTTTGAGATTAGGAAGCAAAGAGAGGAAAGAGAATAGTCAGCAACAACATTGTCCAAGATTGTCAGTTTCTTCTGTTATTTACTTGCTGTTTTCATTTTCTCATTTTATACCATTTGGGGGATACATTTAAAAGTCACAATATTCTTATGCCTTTCTCCCAAAACGTTTTAAGTGCTTTTATTCTGGCCATTTGTGGAGTTAGGCCAGATATTATGATTCTTATTTTACAAAGAAGGATACTGAAGCATGAAGAAGTAAAGGATCTTGTACAGTCATTGGCCAAGTAGTAACCCGGCTCTTGACTCTTTTCAGTGCTTTTTTGCGCTACTACCAAGCAGTGGAAGCAGGAAGTAAAGAATTATTTATTTTCAAAAGAAAAAACAATCAGAGCAATGGGATTAATGGACTTGGATTAACGTGATAAAGCATCTCTGAATTTGAGCACAAACCCACCCACTTACCTGTGTGAACTCAAGAATGAAATGGAAACTTGCTCGATTGTGTGGGCATGAGGATTGACTCAAAGACTGTGACAGGAAATGTTAAGGTTGCAGCCATAAAGCTCTGCAGTGTTATGGTCACATCCACATCTTTAAAGGCACAGTGATAACTGTGTCATTAGATTACTCAGAACAGGAAATGCAACTTTACTGACTTCTGTTTCTATGACATTTTAGCCTTGACATTTCAACATCGGTTGTTGTTTTAATTTATCCCAGTAAAATCAGTGGTGGAAAATGAAAAATTCTGACTGTTCAAGGCTGATTATATATCCATATGCAAGTATTTTCGGATTCAACACATAGGCAAAAAGGTTAAAGATTTTATTTTAAACCTTTGCTTAAAGCCCTCTAAAGGAACTTTTGACTAGGGCTCACATTTAATTCTATCATTTTAGAACAATGATTGTTAATAAAAAATTAAATGAAATAAAAAAGTGTGAGAGGTTGGCTGATTTCCTGGTCATCTGGTTTCGTGTCATGCTGTGAGTAGTAATAAGAACTACACATCATGTTAAAAAAAATAATAATAATCCTTGTTGTCTGTACAGGACACATAGAAACTTGAATCAATGTGGTTCTGGAGCTACACTTAGGGGCCTGTGCCAAGGACTTGTGTCACAGCTGGTCACAAAACTTTCACTCTTTGATCAGACTTTGGCATTTTCATAGGTATAATTAATTCTTTCACTCACGGGACCTGATTTATCATCATAATCTTACTCTCAAAAATTTTTTTGGCCTCTTTTTTTAGTAAACTCATGTTCAGATAATCATAATGTTCTAAGTAAACACAGATTTTTTTTTTCATGCCTAAGTTTATTTGGCACCATCAAACCATACTTTGATGCAAAATGTGTGAAACGTTACAAATTTGTGCAAAATGTGTGAAACATAGGCAAATTTTTAGCTATACAATTGGTGGTGTATAATCAGAATCAGAATTATTCATTTATTCTGCATCTAAGAAGGATAATAATGCAGTGTTGATGTTGCTGGTACCAATTAAAGACACACATTGTATGGAAAACCTGTTAGGATATCTAAAACCCAGAGTCCTGATTATCCTTCTTTGGTGAAGGAATTTCCTTCGTTATCATGTACCAGCTTGGCTTGACACTTTCAAATGAGAATTCTCAATGGCTGAGTTTTGACATACAAAATGTGGCATTTTAAGCATTGTTTCTTTTCCTATGTGCACTAATGGCTTTAGTGGAGTTTATGGCTCTCCTTTTCCCACCCTCAACCCTACCACTCCCGACAGCAACCTGAGAGCCAGGAACCAAATTTACCAATCTTTGTACCTTATTAAGCACATGGCAGGATTTCCTGACTGCTAAGTGAATGAAAGAATGAGTAAGATCTTGTCGTAGGTCTCCTCTCTAGCTTGAACAAATCCCTTCTTAGAAGTCTCCCTGCCTCTTCTAAGACATTGTTTGGTCTGAATGAACTCTAAGCCTCCTTCCTATGCTAAAATTTTATGTTTCTTTGATCATCCTTAATGATAAAAGTGTAAAGAAGGCTCTATTTAAATAATTTTCTAGCTGTTCTTTCCTGTCTAGCCTTGGATTATTTCCTTTTGTATAACTTATGTCATTTAAAAGGAAACCGATCATATCAAAACATAAATTTTAGAATTTGTCTATATTCACAAATTATGTATTTTATTATTTGTTCGCCCATAGTTATAGAAAATTGGAAATTGACAAAATTTTCTATATGGTAAAAGAGATACTAAAATATTTTTAGATTTACTTTCATTGTCCTCTCTGTTCTGCTAACCTGATTTGTACTTTTCAGTCTTGTTTTTATCAGGAGACGTTGCTGCAGAATCTTTTTCTTACTATCAGGAATCGTATTATGTTTATTTCCAATTTTACTGTCTTTTTCTTGGATTTGTATTGAATTTATATATATAGTATTTCTACTACCATTTTCCGTGTTTTAACTCTCCTACTATCTCAATATTTTTTTCCTTTTCTCTTTTATCCTCAGAATTTAAAAGTATGGGGCACGTTGATCTGTCTTTCTTCTTTAAGGGGAATAATGTTTTCTCTTTCTTTTGAGGCACATATCCTGCCTTCCATGAGATTATCTATATAGTGTCAGACACTCAGTATATATCAGATGAATTAATTATTAAGAATTTATTAGTTTTTAAGCAAATAAACAGAAACCCAAGCTCAAAGATACAGAGAACAGATTGGTGGTTGACAGAGGCAGAGGGTGGGGAGTGGGTGAGATGGGTGAAGGGAGTCAATAGGTACAAATTTTCAGTTCTAAAATAAATCTCATGGGGATGTACAGCATGGTGACTACAGTTAACAATACTGTATTGCATATTTGAAAGTTGCTAAGTGAGTAGATCTTAAAAGTCCTCATCACAAGAAAAAAATTTTTTTGTAAATATGTTTAACATATGCTAACTAGACTTATGGGATAATCGTTTCACAATAGTATACACAAATATTGAATTATTATGTTGTACCTCTGAAACTAATATATTGTATGTCAGTTATCTTCAATAAAAATTTTTAAAAGAATTTGTTTTTATTGCCATATGTTTTTATTGTTCTATTTTTGTTTATATGTTCCATTTTTTCCATTTTCCAATTCAATTTTTTTTTCTTTTTCCTTTCATTCCCTCTTATTTCTTCTAAGTTGTTATTTTGGAAAATTTTGTTTTTCTCATGATTTTCAACTCATTTTCTTTAAGGAATTTTTGTAATTTTCTTAG